GGCATCGTTTCGCTGTCAACGTTGTCGATGGCGCAGGACCCGGATTAGGACGTCCTGGCCATTCTATGACCTTGTCGACAGGTACCAGCAGCGCCAACTGCTCTTCTTTGGTGATTTCAAGCTCAGCCCGTGCTTTGATTGATAAAATCTTCTCCCAGTCCGGATGCAAATCAGCCAAGTGTCGCGGAAAGTTGTACTTCCAGTGGAATATGTCGCATCCAAGGGGGCATTTGATCGGGACATTCGTGCAAGGCCGCTCGATTTTGAATTGCTTTGCTGACACCTTGAACTTGTAGTGCGATGGGCACGATGAAATTGCCAGCCCACTTTTGATGCTGATATCGCAAGCATTCTCGCCGACCATAGATTTGCCGCAAAAGCCGCATGGATAGCGCTCGGAAACCTTGGAGTTTGAATTATTTCATGGAAACATATAGATAGCCAATAAACGACGAGCACAGACCTTCAATCTCAAGTCTTTCTCTTCAGCATTGAACGACGAAAGGAGTATGTGCTGACCCATGTGTGCCTGACGCGTCTCGGGCTTTACTGTGTTGTGACAGAGACCACATTGTCGGGCCTCACGAAGGGATTCGGCAACGGCTGTTCCTTCAGTTGTGTGCGCATATGCAAATCCTCGGAATTCTACATGTTGTTATGAGCCGATAATTGACAGCAGGAAAGCGACAACAAACCTGTCGAGACCGGGATATGAGAAGGAAAACCTGTGACTAGTGGAGCTCCATTTAAAATGCCGGTAAATCGAGGGAATGCGGTATGTAAAGCACGAGTTGACAATAGACGATTCCAGAGCGCGAACCAAGATACAAGGAGATGAGCATCCTGGAATTGCCAAGTTGTTTGATGCAAGGCTTCGTTGCTCTCGTTGTCCAACCAGTCGGCATTCCGAGTTATGTCACCGTCATCTGTGCTCTTTTCCATCTCAACGGCGTATCGTTGGACTGGTTCGATGAGCTGTGCTGGAACGGTGATCTGAAGGTTTGAAAGTCGAGTTGCGCCACTGGTGCCAGTTGTGCCGCCAAATTTCTTTCCGATCTTTTTGGTGGAAAAGGACACAAAATGTCTATCCCAAACCCAATTCGTGCGTCGCTCTCCATCAGAACCATCGCCCGCAGACTCCGGAATCAGCGATAAAACTTGACCAGTTACAAGATGGGGGTTTCTCGGGAAGCGTGAGTTCTGCGACAGGTATACTCTGGACGGAAACTAATTTCCCGTTTGCCTCCTTTTTGATTAGAACACACTGAGCAATGGCAAGAGCAACGTAAGTGCCATCATAGCATACCAGCGTTGCAAAGAGATCGTTAAGCTGCAAGTGCGTCGCAGGGGAGAGGACAACAGAAGATTCGGTAGCTTTGCGATGCCAGTCTTTGCCTCCAATTGAGTATGAGCGAATACGAAGGAGGCGGTCGTGACTGGTCTGCTCATCATGTATCATATCGAAGATGACACGAAGAAGTGTTTTTGCATGGCAGAGCTTGTCCGAATCATTGAGGCGAATAAAATGTGATTTCGGTGGCGGAATAACTGGTCTTCGTTCTAGGGATGCAGCGGAATTGGCTAATGCAGTGCCGTCCGTGATAGAGTCATGATCGCAAATGATCGCCAGTATCTGGTGTCGGAGATACGGCCTCTGAAGTTTCCGAGTCAGTACCAAGGGAACGATCGAAAGATGTCGAAATTGCAAGGTATTTCCCGTCCCCAAATGGTCGCATCAGGTCCGTATCTTTCTGCTTAAAGCGAGCCGAAAATGACAGGGTCATCTGGTGATTTCGCCGTTTGAGGATTGCTTCTGACCTGGAGACAGCTTTTGGCCAAATTGCATGGAGGTCGCATGTCTTTGCCCGAAGCTCTACTCCTCTCCGCACCCAGTCAATTGGCTTCAAATGGTCCAAATCCCGGACACGCTGCATCTTGAGCCGATTCGGCTTTTTCTCCCATTTTGGATACTTGTCGAAAATGGAGTCGAGTATCATTGCAGACTGAAACCGCGCGCACATCTCAGAGATACTCCCATTTGGCGAATGACCTCCAATCATTCGCGCCCTGCCAAACAACGTCTCGAGAACGTCATCTCCAAGAAGGCAAATGAACACCTTCTTCTCGCCATTGATGACTCGCGACTTCGGAACCATAAGAATAAACCCCTTGAACATGCATTGAAGGTCATTATAGAGTTGGTTGGGGAAAAGCGATGTGGAATGATCAACTTGGAGAGCACAGAGAAGATGTGCTGCCACAATGGTAGAGTCAATCTGCTCGGATAGGGAGAGTGTTGGGTTAATAAGTGGTTGAAGGAGAGCGTCAAGGAAGTCCGCAAATAAGCAGATCGCCTCAAATTCTGTGCGTTCGGTAGGGCTGAGTGCCGCAATTTCGGCGGCATCGATGGTTCGGATTTCGGATTTCGATGATCGTTAAGAGGAGTTTGACAGCACGTGGTACGTCTTGTGCGTCTTTGGGATGAAGAAGAGCAGTAATTGACATCTCCGACCAATCATGACCATGGAGTCTCTGGAACCAAACGAACAAGCGATCCCGATTGATAATAACGCAGTTGACTACAACACCCTTTTCGGAACAGACACTGGTACAGATACCTAAAGAATGCTTCAGCTGTCTATAATTTTGAGAGGGAGTGTAAATTTACGCTTCAAATTGTGCTTCGGATCATATTCCTGATGTATGTTCCCTTCCCCAACGAAAAGATTGAGTCCTGGAAGATCGCGCACATACTCCCAAAGCTCATTGCCCTCGACAATCTCAGTGTGCATGCACATTGCAAACAGAGCTCGGCGACGTGTGCCATCACCGTCTGACGCAATAGCAGCAACCTTGCGTCGCTGAAGAGCAGGCGACGTCGTAACAGCCTTATAGACATTTTGGAGCATTTTGAGAGCATACTTCCAGTCGCCACCTTTACACGAGCCAGCGAAAGATATTGGCTTCACGCCAATATAATACAGATAGTCAATTTTGGGGTTGACCGCAATTTCGTCGATGGAGATAGTATAGAGCTCCATCTCGTCACTCTCCCGGCCATTGCCTTCCGGAAAGTGCGCCTTGATGTTATTCAGAACATCATCGATATTTAGGCCACTGACGGTCGGTATAAGCTGCAACTCCCGACGATACGGCTGAATTGTGTTTCGGGTGGGAAATGCGAACTTGGAATGATGTAGCGCAGTCAATGCTGCATCTCCGCCATATTCGTAGACGACAATTGCAATATCGATTTCGTCTTCGGTGTAGTTCTTTGGCGAGTATCCCCCAGCCACGGCTTTTGATCTCCCAGTCGTATTACGAGGGCCAGAGTTTCTGGGAACTTGTTTTGTCGTGCATAGATCGCGTGAGCGGGCCGAAGGAAAGCAATGTCATCCGAGGGTGGAAGGAAATTGACACAACTAGACCTAGGTTAGCGCAATAAATAACGAGTGAATAGATCACAAACCCAATGAGGTATTGGCAAACGCGCGTATATGTATTCTCGTCAACAAGAACGATTGATTCCTCCACTATCTCCAACTCTTGAAGAAGATCGATAGCGTCCGGTTCGGCGTTATGGTCGAGAAGGAATACGGCACACTCTTTCGCGAGAGCACGAAGGTCGTCAATTGTGCCAGGAACTTTGAGCACTGACAATGAGCCCTTGACTGGTTCGACTTCGTTATCTTCTTGTTCACGAATGTTGTCTTCGTTACCGAGTTCACCAGCAAGATGTCGAACGTATTCCTGCCTCTGTAAACCAAGGTCGGAAAGCGGCGAGACTGTTGGGCGCATTTTTGCTGCTAGTAAACAAGAACAAAGAGTGCCTCGCGGTTGCGTGTCTGAATAAGCCATAACTAAGACCGATAAGATGACTGCGAATAAAGACTAGGTGACGATTCAGATTCTGAACGTGAAAGAAAGCGCGAAATCTACCTTGTTTTCGGATGGCTCCCATGTTTCGTAGAGCATTTGAAGGTCGGGGTACAACGCCCTGAGTGGTTTCGGAACGGAGGCTATCGAGGATGTAGATGTCCCAATGAGAAATCGAAGGTTTTCCAGCGCCGGATTATAGAGGTTAGCATTGGATTCTTAACTTCATTAGCCAGTGAGAGATTGCATGGAGATGCTGCACGTACATTCAGCCGCCCTGCTAGTCTCTCCAAGCTGAACTGCTGGTCTTCTTCAGACTAGGAAGTGGAAGTGAGTTTTTCGCGCATCTAAAATAACCACAAAACGCACTAAATCTTCGCCTCTTTTCTCCCCATCTTTCCTCTTGTCATGGCCGAGGTTGGGTGAGCCCGTTTTCCTGTCTGTCTTCTTGGAAGCACGGTTAGTAGTAAAATCTCTGCGAGCGACAACTTGAAGAATAGCGGTTTCAATCGGACCGTTGGGCATTGCGAAGTGGACCGAGGAGTGCAACAAGCGCCCTTGGGCGTAAAACGCGCGATCGCCACAGGATTCTGGTAACGAGTTGGTGGTCGTCCTCAGAAGTCATGCATCACAGACTATTATGTAATCTTATGATGCGACTCAAGGAACGGTTGCCCTCAGGCCTCAGGCTCAGTCGTGTTATTTCGAGCTTTCAAGTAGATTCTATGTGGATAGAGAATGAGAATACAGCTTTTGACTACACAGCGTGCTAGATTGACTTCATTCATGAAATTTCACTCAGCCTCAGAGCATGGTACAGCGCGTTCTAAGCGCGTGGCAGGCCCCGGGAAGCTCCACCAAAGGGTGGTCCGAAAATTTGGGTATTTGAGGCCCCAAAATCACGATTTCCTTGTCCAAAATATGGGTATTTGAGGCCTAAAATCTGCCAACCTTGTCCGAAAATTGGGTATTTGAGGAGGATTTGAGGGCTTGGAAGGCAACGGTCACCGCCAAGTCGCCGCAAAAATAAGGTCGCTGGTCATCAATCTGTGGCTGTGTGTCACCACGCTGTCGCAAATTTCTTCTTTCCTTCTTCACGAATTCTTGGGTGACGCTACAGTAATATGGAGCCGCAGAAAGACCCTCTCTCCGTCTTCAATCACGTCGACCTACGCATCCGTGGCTCGCAAGTCAAGTCCTCTGACTTCGCTGTCTTCTCCAAACGCTGCAAGCTTAAGGTTCCCGGAACTGCGATGAATGCGTTAGCCGCTGTCTTACAGCATGTCTCGGAGGAGCAGGGCAACAGCGGCTCCGCCATCTTCTCTTCATGGCTTGGTCCACTCATCTGCCACGACGTTCCCCAAAACACATTCTACGGAACAATTAACGGCCACATCGAAAATGCGGTACGATTCAGATGTTGCATTGATACTTCTATTCACGTCGTGGACAGTGTAACGGATCTATGGCAATGCTGTCTGCCAAAAGCATCTGGATCTTTCCCATGTGCAAAGGTAACCCGTCCCATTGGGTTTTGGGTTGGCTTGAGCTCGCCACACGTCGATACCACATCTTCAATAGCGTTCCTGAGCTCCCTATTCTGTGGGCTGAGCCGGTAAGCAATCTTTCGCTACAGAAGCACGGAACTTATCTATGATGATGCAGGCTCTTCTCGAGATTGGCGACACAGTCTTTGCACATCTTGGGGAGATGAAGGTCGATTGGGAGTCCTGGAAGCTGATTTCACATTCGCCGGCGCCGCTCGATTGCCAGATGAATGGCTGGGACTGTGGAATTTTCGTCATTCATGTAATGCTCGTGTTGGTGAATGGATGGGACATTTCCGAGGTCAAGAACAGTGAGACGGAGCGAATTCGACAAGCCGCCCGTAAGCTCGTTGAGGAGAACCTGGTGTATGTTCTCAATTTGTGATATTTTCGGGATATTGAGGCATCACAGTCTGTTCAAGCCATATGCAACCCCGCTGCCGCAAGAAAAGGTCCAGTCTACAGCTGCAGCGGTATCATTACCAGTGACTGCTTCTGACTCTACCTCGGACAACGCGCCAACACTAAATATCGCGTCTTCACGAACGGATGATGTGACACCAAATCCTGAATCTTTCGATCTCTCCATCAAACCAGGTAATGAGATACATCCCAGCATCGTCTCCGGCTCCAGGTAAGCTGTGTTCAGTTCAAGTGCTGTTTATAACTAATGTAGTACATTCACCCAATAGCTTAAAGCGTAAACGGCCATCTTCCAGCACTATATTTTCGGACTCAGACTCAAACTCTCAGTCAGACGATGATGGCACCCCGAAAAAGCTGGCGAAGAAGGCCTGGACTAAGCGGCGAGGAAAGGGGACAAAGGTTTATGAGCGGGAGCAGAGTTTACTTGCAAATAAGTGGGTTGATGAGGTTGAAGCGCATCGTGTCAAGTGCCGTGGCTGTCACAAGTGGATCAAGCTCGACAAGAACGTCAAATTCAAGCCAAACAACTGGGTTATCCACGAGGGAATATGCCCAAGCATTACAGGCACTACGACATATCGCAGCAAGGCTATCACGAAGAATTCTGTTGCAATTGTCAGTGGTCCATTGCTGAACTCATTTATCTAATAAGACCTAGGTCAACGGAAATGGCTCGATCAAGAATTTCTTTCACAGCAAGCGGGCGACTGCTCCTTCGGCCAAACTGTCGGGGTCGGTTACATCTGAGTCAAGTACTACCTGCGTGGATATGGTCGGTGCTAGCACCAGTAATCTTCATCCATCGGAGTCAACCACTTACAAGATATGCCGTGTCGCAGCAGTGAGTGGCAAGTATTTGCATCAAAGATTGCTCACCCATGCAATTTAGACACCAAGTATTGCGACCCTCTTCATGCCAGGGCCAATCAAGTCAAATTCTCGTCCCCCGATCTCAATACCTTCCCCTCCTCAACTACAATCATGTCAACACCTCACCGGCCCTGCATACAAATCATATATTGAACTGACAGAAACACGAATGATGGGTGGGGTGTCTGTTGAGCTTCGAGGCCGAGTTGCGCGGCAGCTCTTTCCGTACAAGTCATTTGCACCATTCAAACGTGGGTCGGTGGCATCCAAGGTGTCAGCCGATGTACCGAGCAACGGAAATGTGTTTGTACCCTACTCGGATTGGACAGATGATGAGCGCCGAGCGCTGGAGGATGCAGTAAGCGGGTTTGCGCGTTGGGAAGTGAATTTTGCAAAGAAGAGTATTCGGTCGACACGCTGCGAGGGCACAACAACCAATGCGGACCGGGTTTGCAGGGAATGTACCAAGGTTGCGAATGATGCCGCACTCAAGCATGCAATCAACATTGTAGGCATCCCATGTCTAAGAGATTTCATGTTTATGTTTACCTCTTCTCAGAAAAACAAAGAGGCAGCTCTATCGAATGAAGAACAGCATCGACTTCTCTTAGCACGTCAAAAATATTCGTCACGCCGTTTCCTTGACTATGCTGCTGGTGAACTGAAGGGCAAGCTGGACGACCGCTTGGTATTCGATACTTTCAAAATTCTCCAAAAGGGCGAAAGTACAGATTGTTTTATCCAGCTTTACGATGCCTGCCGGAAAGGCGACCTTCAAAAGCACGAGACTTTCCGCCAAATGTGTGTTGTCCTTGCTGACACGCTCCAACGTAAAGACACAACAAAGAAATTTGGCGTCCGTTACCCTAAAGATTATCTCAACTTCTGTATCCTACTCCGTTCATATGGTGCCCAGTCAGCAAAGCAGTTTGCGCTTATTGCCGGCCAACTTCCCATGCCTTCCCCACGTCATCTGCGGTGTGTTAATTTCATGATCATTCAATCCCTGTCTCAAGAAAATTCCAGGGCACTTGTAGCCAATTCAGAGGATGCACTTCAGAATCCCAATCTTACTTTCGAGAATTTGGCACGCGTTAAGCGTCTGGTGACGGCCATCAAGTATAACGGGCCAGTCTGTGTTGCGGGAGACTGTACAAAAGTGCGGACACGGCTTACCTACTCCAGCGAGTTTGGCGGGCATATCTTGGGAAGCGTTCTCCCCTTGGAGGAATGCATCGCTGAGACACCAGATGATATCGACAACATCATTTCGAAGATAATCAAATCTAAAACGCAGGCGTCCCAAGTTCGAGCCATTCTGATTAAAGTGAGCTCGAGTCTGTATATATTTATAAAGTTGGATATACGATGAATCATCTAGGCCGTGCCAGCATTGACAAGACATAGTCCTCCCAAACCTGGCCGAGAAGAATGTCCACCAAATAAACCCACTCTCTGTTGGCTCATTTAGTATCATGTTCAACGGTACACGGTTCTACCTTGGAGAAGTTCTCGACGTCTACAAACGAGGATCAGGCAGTCGTCACGGCTCAGTCGAAAAATGCGTTATCTACATCAGGCCTGTCATATCTGTCCATGCGCGTGTATCTTGAGCTCGGAACGGTATGTCTACTTGTATTGTCTCTTCACAGCAATTGAATGGTATTTCAGCATGCCGCCGTAACTATTGGCAATGATTCCGACTCGGAAGGCAGTGATATGGAAGACGACAGCCCAGCTTCCCTGTTCTCATGCTATGAACGCAGCGCAGATCTATACTCACGCAAAAATCGAGCATTTAATGTTCCATTTGGGACGTGGGATTCTTCAAGTGGCCCCTTCTGGGGCAACTCATCGCAAACTGACAGAGGATGCCGAGAAGCGTTGGATCATGCTGACGAGGCCCGGGAAGCCTTCAAAGGAGCTAAAGAAGGCAGTAAAGAAGGTCATATTAAAGATAAAGGTGCCAGTATCGTAGCTACTTGAAACTCGCTCAAATCTGATTAAAATTGCCTTTTTGGGAGTAGTCACATCATCTGATGATGTGTGACGATGTCACTACCCTTGTCCGAAACTGGGTATTTGAGACCGAAAAAAATGGGTATTTGAGGCCCAGATTCAGGAATTTTTCGGACCACCCTTTGGTGGAGCTTCCCGGGGCCTCGCGTGGCTCTTGTTTTTCCTTCTTCACAGACAGTTGTTGATTTCTCAGATCTATTCAATATCGATGGGTCGGTCCTGAACACCCCGCACACACCCCGTCATCATTAAATCAGGGTGAAAAGGTTTGGTTACCTGGGACATTCCCACTTCTTCGGTTTCCTGCTCAGCCTGGTTGACGCTGGAGTCGTCCATGAGTTGATCCTCGGCTATCCTCGGTGTCTGACAGCTCAGCCAAGTTTTTGCTCGAAGAATTCGTTGGGGAGTCTCCACTAGCCTGCAATAAGTGAGAGTGTGACAACTGAAGAGAATTGGCTCACGGTCTATGTCTGTTGTCGAGACAAAAAATATCAAAAAATATCAAAGAGAAGAGAGGGAGAAAAGAGAGAAAATCATACCTGTATCCACATGTATCTTGACTCGGACTACCTCATGGCATTGAAATCTGGTTTTTTGGGTCCCTGAATCTGAATCTGTCAGTTAAGCTCTCCATACACTCCTTGTGCCTGAAATTGAGTTTGCTGCCTTTGTTTGTCCCCAACTGTAGTTGTGTTGGAACAGCGCTGGGTCGTTGTTGGAGTCAAATGGTGGTTGGTGTTTCGAGTTTCTGACCAGTGTTATCGTCTATTCCGAGAGATAAGTAAGCACATGAGTCCGCTGAAAATCCGCCCATAACTCACCTGTTTCCAGCCGCTGCAAATTTAAAGTCTACGGGTTGGAACGGCACACATTGACAAAAAAGGCGATGTAGTCGTAGCCGTAGCCGGATACTAGGTTGCCGCGTGAGTTTGAGATGGCACCGGAGCCATTGTTGCCTTGCTGGATGCGGCTTTGAAGCGGAAGAGGGTGCCGACAAGCAAGGAGAAAGTTGAGACATGTAAGATTATCGTGTGCCGGCGCCGTGACACGAGGTCGCATCACAAAAAGCGGCAGAGTGATGTAGGATCCTCGCTACATAGAATTCCTTATCGGTACTTGTAAGCGAATCAAAGGCTGTAAGCCATTTGGGCGACTAAATACATAACAGCACATCAAAACTGGGCGATATCCGATCGGAGGCAAACGACGTCTATTAAATTTGGGGGTAAGGATAGCGATGGAAGGAGGGAATGAGCGGGTAGGAAACGAAATGAGCGGGTAGGAAACGAGTGAAGGAAACAACAAGTAAACTGAGCAATGATCTGAAAAGGGTGAGAAAACTGAAAACACAGATATTGGCAACCCACGTCCACTTCTTCAAGTGTTGGTGGTATCGGTAAGCACACGCGTTGACCGGCGCGATGCCTGCGCTGAGCCACTGCTTCATCTTCGCTTTCATCTCCATCTTCTTTCGACTCATCTGACAAATCATCTCCTTGATCGCCAAAAACCCGCCTGAAAACTGTGAGAACCATAAGGTTATAAGGCAGCACTTACTCTGTCAACCAATCGAAGCGTCTCTTTACCCCAATCCGGGTGATCGGGGTCAGAGTCATCAGCAAAGGCGTCCAAGACTTTGTGGTAGAGAACGGAAAATTTGTACTTGCTAGATTCCTGGCCGGTCCATTGAGGAACGCTACTAATGGCTAGTCGAATCTGAACTGTTTCAGTTTGGACTTGCGAGTATACAGAGGCGTTACCTGTACCACCACCTAACCCACGATATGAGAGGTGACGCGGCGCGTGTTATGGATGGCGGCTAGACAACCTAGCGAGATTTCGTCATTGGCGGCGTGGCTTGCAGTCGAACGGGAGATGAGTAAGAGCCGGATGCCCTGCACATACATTGTAAGGACCTGTGAGAAAAAAAAGAAGCTAGGAACATACCCGCCAAATCGCAACCCCAGTAAAGAGGTTTTCTTGGTAGCTCTGTGGGTTCCATTTGCCGTCCGGCTAGCAAAAGGAGGGAAAATATTTTGAAGATGGGGTGTACTTGCTTTCGATAATCTTGTTGTAGATGCTAAATGAATGATCAAGACGGCAAGGTCAGTGGGCTAACGCTAACGCACGTTTGAGCTTCTGGGCTAAGCCAGTTTCGTAAGTAGAAATAGGTGTGCAGTGGAATAACTATACGAGAGAGGAGACGCTGGACTTGTAAGGTGAGCGTCAGATTAATGGCCCATCAGATGATTTACTTTGTAGACGGTCCATAAACCAGAGGCGGGAAGAAAAGAAGAAAATCCGGTCTTTCCATGGCATGATGAGCATGCGGAGTTGAGGATGTGCCAGACCCCGCTTGGCTTTGGTGATTCCTGGTTCAATGGGTGGAAAGAAGCAGTCGGAGCGGGAGTAGTATGTGTAGGTTATTCTGTCACTCCCAGCGAATAGAGAACCTCAGCATCAATCGTGTCCTCATCAAGGTCAATGAGGGTCCATCTCTTCACGGATTTGTTGGCCATTGCAGCCTCTTGAGAATAACGATGCAACATCAGATCCAACGTAGCCGCGAGTGTCAGCAGCTACATCGTCCCCAAGCTTCATGGTCTTGGTGTGTGTGCGGAGAATGTTCAGCGAGTTGCCGGACTCCTCGTCTTCACGTTTGACAGGATCACCCTCTGATACCAAGAGTTAGCTTGCCAGAATAAGAGAGAAAGCAAGTCGACTCACCCGTATGAATAACGGTGTCTTGAGCCACAATGCAAAACTCAGCTGGGTCCGTCTCGATAACCTCGACCTCGACTGTGCGCATTCCTCCACGGACAAGGAAAGTATCACCCTTTCGGACGGGGGTGGTAAGCTGCATCATTTATCAGTAAACACTACAGAGAATCTCTGTGGTACCTTCGAGGAAATACAGCTTGAGGTATTAAGTGACCGAAAGGGAGGATGTGAATGTGTTTGCCATATTTGATTGACGTCCAGGCAAGAGTGAACATTGACGAGGTTGTCCAGCTTAATTCGCAAGGGGTGGCGAGCTACGTTGTCAATCTGTAAACGGCCTTCCTCAACGGCATCCCCCGAGAACCCTGTTTTCAAAAACAGGAATGACGAGTCCTAGTCCGGAGTCAATCGGGGAAATCGACCCAGGAGAATGTATACCGCGGTCTGACGACGATGCTAATTTAACAGTGTGGCGAATACGCATGCCGCAATACGAAGGGGTGGGGGTTGTTGGCCAGAGAGGGTGAATTCACAGTCGAAAACCCATCTGATAGGATTGGTCTCGGTGGGCTTCCTAAGTATAGTCAAGCGCACCTTTCGTTGAATACGTCGCAAGCACAACTGACTGCGATTCTGAAATGCCCTCCAACCCAGCCCTTGGATCTAGGGTCAGTACCTAAAGTTCAGCTGGATGAGAAACGCACCAAACACAGTAGATGGATAGTCCACAAATAGTCTACCAAGTATGTCCACGTAGCATGAAAAAACGAGAGCTGCGAAACCACGAGCTACTCCGGATGTTGTTGGTCTTGTCGGCATAGACCCGTTTGAAAAACCACGAGGCGCAGCCATAAGGGCTGGAAGTTCTGGCTGGCAGTTTGCCATAAGCTGGGTAACTTGTGCAGTTGTCAAACTTGATGAGTGCTCGTGAATCGTGGCAAGAGGCTGTGACTCGGATCCTGATGTTGGAGTGGGTCGGGCGGACGGAGGTGGTGGCCCGCATCACCAAATTGGTCCACACGGTGTAACGGCTTTTGATCATGGCAGCAACGTGTCACAAGCAACTCATAATCTCATCGTAACCCTGTTTTGTTCTGGTAGGGCTCTAGCAGCCCGCTTTTCAAACGAGCCACAAGGCTTTCTTACCGTATGATGCTGATGATGTACTTGTCGTCACCTTGGAGCGTCCTTGTTGGGCAGTAAAAGCTGCCTCTCAAAAATCAACTTGCTGAATTTTATGCATGACGTCTCAGTTTAGCGGTAGTAGTTGTTTACAAGACCCACGATATAATACATCATCGTGATATAAACTATTCAGCGGCAAGCCCAAGCTGGTTCACAAGGGCAATATCTCCTTCATACAGCTGCTCTTGTGCATCTTCAACTTCTCCAGCTCCATCCTCGCTATCCGACTCAAACCTAACTTCGGCACACTAAAGCTCCTCACGAGTGGCTGGACCTGAGGATGGTTCACCAGGTACCTGAGACCCCCATCCGCAGGTGTAGCCATCCGTGGATGGAGGTACCCTTTTTCCCACGGATGGCAGGGAGTGAAGGTCTTGGATTTAGTTCTTGAAGGTACCTGTAAATTCGTTAAAATATCCTCAGAACTGGCCTATAATAGATCATACAGCGTCAGATAGTGTAAGTTATACTTGTATTCTGTAGATCAACTTAACACATAATTTTACTGCTCTGTATTTCCTTTGTTTATACCTAATCTACCTTTGTACCATCCGCAGGTACCCTTAAAAGTACCTGTATCTGTGGATGGAGGTACCTGACAACCGGGCACACCAGTCAGGATCCTCCAACTCATCCCCCTCCGCTGCATTATTATCATCTTGAATCGATGACGCAACCCCCTCCAAGGCTGACTGTTCTTCAATGGCATCGCTGAGTATGCTGGTGGCGAGATTGTTGGGTGAGTTGTCGTTGGCAAGGCCGTCATCGGGCAAGTTGTGACTTGGCAAGTCCTCCAGCGTGCTGAAATTGAGACTAGGAGCAGAGCCGGCCCTGACAATTCTGCGGTGGCCAACGACGTTGTCATGAAAACGCATGAGCATATCTCTGTCAACGACCCTAAGGAAGGTGAGCAGAGGACAAGACAAGCAGAGGACGAGAGCGTACATGTTGACATAGTAAAACCGCCAGTCTTGGTGACCTGCGGAACTACGACGAGCCACAGATTTGGGAAGGTACTCCGTAGTCTGTCCAGAGTGAAAGGCGGGAAGAAGGTGACACCCCTCGAACAACATCTTGAGGATTTAAGAAGCCAAATGCGTCCACACTCTCGTGGGGCATGTACCGTATGCGAGGAAAATGCTTTGCTTTCATGCCGCAACGGTGTGTCATGTCGCGCTGGAACCAACGCACCCACAGAAATTCGACCCGCTTTGCTTTTCCTGGAAGATCCGCCAATAACACATAGGCGTGGAATATGCCTATGATTTCGCCATACCAGTACCGATGGGAGTCCACCAGATCTTGCGCATGAACTAGGAAGAATCTTCGGGTCCTTGTGTTGATCATATCTTGATCTCTGCGAACATCATAAGTCATGTAGTTCACCTTCATAGTTGCGTGCGTATAGAGCAAATCCTTCTCGATGACAACGTTAATGAGGTCTTCGGTGCTGAATTGAGCATCAGGATCATCCAAGCTTAGAAGCTGGCAATGAAGGTAAGTTTTGAGCTTTGGCACAAAGTCCTGCAATCAATCGTTTGAGTGCTGCCGGGGAGGTAGAGCAAGACTACCTGGAGAGCCGGGTCCAATTCTGTTTGGTCGACATCCTTGACAAACAATCAGACAATAACAGACCACATAGCATGCTACAAACCATGCGCTCCAGCTGCGGCCCATCACCGTCGGAACCGGAGTCATCGTCTTGAACTGCTTGGAAATCCAAGATGTCTGACAGATGCCAGAACATTCTCCTTGAATCCGATATGTAGTGGTGTTGTTGTGGTGGAGCATAGGCCCCGTAAGAAAGGGTCTTAGGTCGCAAGGCGGACCGAAGACGTTGGTGTTGGTCATTTTTTTGCTTGGTGCTTGTGACAGTTTGTGCCGAAACCGTTTTCTCGCCAATGTGGTAGCTCGCCTGGGCCACGTGTGGTAGCTGCTCTGATCTAATGATTCGTGACTACTGTGACATGATCCGACTTCGGCCCCGGCGCCGGCCTCCCATCACAGGTGCCCCCATTTAAAATGGCGTCGTCCTCGACGCCTGTGTCCCCTCTATGCGCTTCAGCTCTGCCTCCATATCCGCCACCCTCTTCCGCTCTGCCATCTCGCCCTCCCTCTCCTTTACTACCTTGTCCACCTCGTTGTAGCCTAGCCTTGCTTGGTCCTTCCGTATCTTCTCCATGAATACATCCTGTTCCGTCGCCAGCTTCGTTCCCTCCCTCGGTGTGAATCTCCTGAGCCTTCTTGCGCTGTAGTGTCCCGATACCGCGATGCCTTCCAGGGTCTCCAACTCGTATGAGTTCACCCGTCGCGTCTTCACCCAGTGCGGGTCGCTCCACGGTCCTTGTATCTTGCGGTCCGCGCTTAGAGTCTTCATCCTCGCGGTGTCGTAGACCTGTACCAGCTCGCCAATGTCGAACTTTACCTCTCCCGCCTTCGAGTTTATCACTGCCTTGTCGAACAGCGCTCTCCTCTTGTTCGCGTGAACTAGTCTGTTGTCGTACGCGTCAAGGCGTTGCTGTTCTGCGTAGCACATGTGGGTGTGTATTTCGTTCTCTGTAGGCCTCGTTGTCGCCACCAATACTGGTGTTGTTGTAGTGTTGACTGCCTTCGCGAATAAAATCTCCTTCGGCGTGTACCTAATGGACGGCAGTATTCTTTGGTTGAGTATGTGCAACGCTTGCCTGAAATATTTCGGCCACGTCGCCGGCAGGTCTTCTGCCCTGGTGTTCCTCCACCCATCTTCTCCCAGTTTCGGTGCGCAAAGCCTTGCCAGCACAAAGATCAGCAGCTTGTTGGTGCCTTCCACCAGTCCGTTAACCCAGGGTGAGTACTTCGGTACCGGCATGAACTGCGTCCCCCATTTGTCGCATGTCGCCTTGACAGCCTTGTTGACGAAGTGCGAGCCGTTGTCCACCATTAGGGTCTCCGCCGGCATGTAGTCCCTGAATAGGTTATCCAGCATGTCTACCGTGTTCGCTCCCGTTCCCGCTCCTTTGTACATTTCCCCCCAGACGTGTTGCGATGCCACATCTATGTCCCGTCGTCTTGAACCCCTCTGTGCTGAGCGGCAGCGTCATGTAGTCCGCTGCAATCAGCTCGAATGGGTGTCTTCTGATTATCGGTTTCAGTAGGGCGTGAATTGCTGTCGGGCCGAAGTTTTTGCACTGGGTGCAGTCCTTTATTGCCGCCACGATTGAGTCGTCCATTTTGGGGCTGTGAAACCTATCCATGAGCGTGATTTTAATGTGGTCTCTGTGAAAGTGACCCCCTTTTGCATGTGCCGTTGCCGCTTCCTTTTTCGCCCCCCGCCGACTCCAGATACGCGTAGCCCAGTTGTAAGTTTTGTCTCTTTTTGCATGAGGGCTTGGAAGGCAATACACGTGCTCGTCTGAGACGAGACAGTTAATATAAGTCTGTTTCTCGAGAGTGACGCCACGTACATCCTCTTCAGCCACGTAGTTACGAAGATGATGCTTGTAGGGGCTCGTTGAGAACGAAATAGCCCTGGCCTGCACATAGCGATGGGTCATCACGCTCGTTAGACCGAATGCGGTTTTTGAGCCTAAAGTTGGCGTCGATGGCGAGCATTAATGCATAGAGGAATCTGCTCTTAGTTAGCCCATTTGCGTATGAGATGAGATACTAGTACTCACGAGTCGCTCTGGGGGGAGCGTCTTGCCACCCCTCCGGTAGATTACGTTCGGGATCTGGACAAGCCCAGCATTGTACGGCCAAACCCCCAGCTCCAGTCGTTTGAAGACCATTAGGACAATGTCCCCGGCCAGCGCGTTTAGCTCTGATGAGATAGTCGTATTGTCTTGACATTCGAAGAAAAGATTTATAGCGGTCCTTCACCATACGTGTCAGTGGCGCCTCTTCACGCAAAAAAGAAAGGAACCTACGGGCATTTTTCTCGTCAAGGTCGCATTCCTCAATCGCTCCAGGCTGCGAACAAGGTCGTGGGCGGTGACATTCCCCACAACCTTCAGCAGTCGGAACATGTCGAGTTCGAATGTTGCGCATGTCGATGGACTCGAAATTGTCGCAGGATACCACGCATTATCGAGCAGCTGTGATATGTGGCCGTGTCGATGGCGAAGACTCTCAGAGCATCCACAAAAACTTCATGACATTCAGCGGACGACGCTTTAACCTTCATTGTGGGCAGGCTTACCGGCAATCTAACTTGGTGATTCCCCCGACATCTAAAATGACCAGGGTTCGCACCATGGGCTCCGGCGCCGCGCAAGGAAAACCGTAATGTCTGAGTTGGTAGCACATTCCCAGGCGCACATCCGCGTCTGGGTCGTCGTACAGAGAACATGTTGTCCAAAATAGGCCATTCCACATCTGGCTCGTCGTTAGCTTAGACAGCCTCAAAACGCATGCCGGAAATCTCACCTGTGGACGATGTAGAGGGAGTTGTTCGTGGCGCCGTTTGAGACATTCTTTGCATTGCAAAAACTGGCCACAGTGAGGGCACTTGAAAAAGCGGATGGCTTCTTGTCCGCACTGGGCGCAGGTAGGTATGTGGAAGCCCCCACCCAGACCTTCAGCTCAAAGTAACTCGTCCAGAAACTTCGCCTTGTGTTTCCGCCATACGGCCATTGGGTTGTCCTGACCCCAAGCAACTCAGCGGTGAGCATTTTCAGGCTGAATCATAACTTACCGAGCTCAGATACCGTTTCCTTATGGGCGGGATCTCCACCATGACTTCATCTGCCAAAGAAGCAGACTGCGCCCATCCCTCCTCGGTAAACGGTGTCCAGGACCCAAGAGCATCGTTAACTCCAAGGCGAGGACGTTTCGCAGGCTGGACGGTCACAAGCCTCCCGACAGCCTCGCCATTGGCGCGGAAATGAGTCCCATGGTCACCGTGTCTCCCCGTCCGATGTAGAGCCCCCACTCGGAAGGTGTAATACACTCCCTCTTTGGTCTAGCTCTGCCGCCCGACGCCCCGCCCAGCCGCCATAACTTGCCGTCTTCTATAAAGTATTGTGATGCACGGTGTCGTCGTGCTCTTTTCCGTTCTTGTTCGCTGGTTCCGAAGTCGAGCTCTGCAATGGTGTTAATCACCTCGAGGTAAACTGGTTCTTTCTTGAACCGTTCTCTTAGCTCCGCTGTTCCTTGTGGAACTGGCATCACCAAGTAGTTCCCGTCCTCTGCATTCACCGTAAATACGTCGTTCACGATCCCCGCCCTTGCTTCCCAGTCTGGGGATACTGTCCACTCGCTTCCATCCTCGTTCCCCCTTGGCTTCCCTTCATCCGCCCTTGACAGCGCGTCCGCGACCACATTGTTTTTCCCTTTGATGTGCTCCGCTCCTACGATGTTGTAGCCCATGATTCCGTCCCTCCATCGCGTGTGTATGACGTTAAGTTTCTCGTTTACCATTATGTCGCGCAATGCTTGGCAGTCGGTTTCGAGTTTGATGGGTTGGCCCCAAATGATGTCGGAGAACTTATCTTAAGGAGAATTTCAGTGCTGCGAATTCGAGAAGGTGTGGTTGATATTGCTCTTCCGATGATGACGTCCTCTTTGACGCAAACACTATTGGATGCCGTCTTACGACCTCTTTTCCCCCCGGCATGGTCGTTGTCATTTTCTGCGACAGCATTTCCCGCAAATGCCTCCTTGCTTCCGTCTGTCGTTACGATGAATGGATGTTTGTCCACCTCCTCATAGTTTGGTGCTCGTAAGACGGGTTCTCGTAACAGTATGTCCTTGAGGTTGATGAATGCCTTGGCGTGTTGTTCGGTCCACACTGGCGCTAGCTTGAAAGCTTTCATCATCGCCCGGTACACTGGTTTCTTCACGCCTGTGGGAATTTTCACTTTAGCCAACAGATCTCTAAGCGGTTTTTCCAACTTAGCGTAGTTCTTGATTAAGTCCCTAAAGTATCCAGTCAAGCCTAAGAAGGCACTTAGGTTTGCCGCATCCTCTGGTTTTTCCCATCGCACTATTGCTGTGAGTTTTGCTGGGTCCGGTGATACTCCGTTTGGTCCGACTCTGGCTCCTGCGAATATCGCTTCTGTCATGAACAGCTTTGTCTTGGTAGCTGACAGCGATAGCTTTTCTTCCCTTAGCCTGTTGAATATCAGCCTTAATTTGTCCATCATCTCGTCGAAGGTGTCTGCCGCCCGAACCGCTATCGTCCACAAACAACTCCATTATCCTCTTGACTAGTAGGTCCGATAATTTGGTTGCTGCCATGTGTGCGAATTCTGTTGGTGCATCTGTCAGTCCGAACGGCATGCACATGTACGCGTAGTAGCCTTGTCCAGGTACAAACATCACGATGTATGGTTGTACATCCTCCGCTATTTGCACTGCAAAGAATCCTGATGCAAAGTCGAATACGGACACATACCTGTGCGCTGAAAGCCTTCGCTGCTTCTTGCGTATGTCCCCTTGTGGCATTGGCACGACCTTCAGTAACTCGTTGAGCTCGTGGAAATTTTGACAGATGCGCCACTTTGGCTGCTTCTTAGCTTCGTGTCCCCGTTCCGGTTGTTCCGTCTTTGGTGGCAGGTCGTAGACTGGTGGGAATCCTTCCTTGATACATTCATCGTTGAGCGTGTGCTGAAGCTCCTCCAGCGTTAATCCCCCTTCCTTCATGTTCTTTCTGCGCCAACTTTATCGGGGACACGCACTTGACGTCCCGTGGGTGTATTGGTCGGATTATCCCCGCCTCTTCCAACACTTTGACTTGTTCCCTTAAGTACTGTGCTTGCGGCTGCGACAACGGTTTTTGTTGGATTTTCGTGCTGAATTGGTGGTCCTTTGGGATGTGTGGTGCATATTCCGCGCCTTCCACCGCTTGTACTTCACTCACTGCCAGCGCGAAGATGTCTGCAAACTCTGTCACCAGATCCCTGACTTTTTTCCTTTCCTCCGCGGTTATGTCGTCGCCAATTTCGATTGCCTTCAATATACGCCTCGACTCTCTCCGGTTTAAAAGGTTCGGTTTTGCGCGTGAAAATGTTCGCTTGTTCTATCTTCCGCGTTGCCTCCTTGTTCTGAATCTCCACAGCGTTTACTCCCTTCTCTCCCTCCGTTGACTCTTGTTTGTCCATCCCCAGCGCCCTCATCGCCTCCTGTGCTATCACTTTCGCCACTCCCACTTCTGTCTCCTCGTCCTCTGTTTCCCTTTCTTCGCTCTCCTCCTCCCACTCTATCCACTCCCCTTCTCCTTCCTCCTCTCGCTCTTCCTCGCTCTCATCCTCTATCTCGTTCTCCTGTATCGAGTGCTTGTCATCCATATACAATATATCGTTGTTCGCTTGCCTTTCGTTGTCTGTTTTGGCTGCTGGTTTGCTCTCTATCCCATTTGCCTTGACCCCTCGCATTTTCGCCTGGTTGGTTAGTGTTGCTTTCGTTCTCCCTATTTGCAGCTCGATCGTGTCGTTTTTGTAGTCGTGTATCGCTCCAAACAACGCCTGCAGTGGTTTCCCAAATAAAACTTCCCATCCTCCCCCACTGTCGAACACTTCCAGTGTTATTGGTGCTTGAACTCCTTTGATGGTCGCCGTTCCGCTCCACCTGCACACTGAAGGTATAAGTTGGCCGCTCGCCATTCTCAATACCGTCGTTGATTCGCTTCCCGCTCCGAGTTGCTTGAGGCTTCTCTCCCATAGCTTCCTGTCGAGCGCCCCCACTAGAGCGCCTCCATCGAACAGCATTCTTACTGTGGTTTCTCCACTCCTTCCTCTTAGCGATGCTGAGTGCTCGAATGGTTTACATCCCTCGCTTGCTTCCGTCGCTGCTCCGTACATGTCAATAACGTTGATTCGTTGTTTCGAAGGTATACACGTCATTCGTACGTTGCTGGGACCGAGGCATTTCTTTGGCCGCGTTTCCCGGGCTGACTGATGGCCTTTCACATAGTCAGCCCTCCGCCAAAACCCTCCATTTCCTGCCTCCTGTTGAATTCTTCGATGGTGTACTCCAAATAGTTGACCCCCGCTATGCTTTGTCTGTTTGAGGCTTGCGCTCGTCCCAAATATTTGCTGCAGATCGCTCTGAAAGCTCGCTCGTTTCGTGGTATCGGCTCCGCCTTGCATTCTGCGTCGTTTGCTCGATGTGGTGGGATGGTGACTTGTCCGCATTGGAAGCATTCGCCAGAGCAGAGTTCCGCCGTTCCTGGGCTGAGTGGGTACCCTATTTCTTCCAGTGCCGGCCTTCTTTTCGCCGCCGTACTGCTGGTTCCACAGGTTGATTAGTTTGTTGTAATACTTCCTCCCGTTCTCGTCGTCTATCGCCGGCTTCATCTTTCCCACCATTTCCTGGAGTTTGCGTAAGCCTTCTTCTGTCAGCGTCTCGCTTCTTTGGGTTGGGTTGAATAGGTTCCCCTTCGCGCCTCCGCTTGCCCCGAAGACGTCCCCTGTTGGCCTGGTCAACGTGCTTCTCGGTGTGCTCAGGTTCGTTGCAACCAGTCTTGCCGCCATCTTCGAGACTGGTGTCGCTGGAGTTGCTGCCTTTCTCTGGAGTTCCGCTATTTTCTCATCTCTGTCGTTATCTTTCTGTAGCTTCTCCTTCGCCTCTTTCACATCCTCTCGCAGCTTTGCCCTGTCGACGTCTTTGATCGCCTTCGTGAAGTTGACCCAGTTGCTCGGTTCTCTCGGCAGGTTTTTTCGCAGCGGCTCCGGTATAGCGTCTCGGACTTGGTAGATATAGCTTGATGTTTTCTCCACTCCCGCCTTTCTCGCTAATTCCAACAACTTTTGGGCATATTTGACGTGTGTCGCTACCTCTTGGCCCGCTACCTCGACCGTTCCTCCCAATTCGCTCAGCGTGAGTTTCAGTCCAACGAGTTTCTCTTGGTATTCTTGTTTGGTGGGCTCGGCCTCTTCGTCCGTTGGGGAATTGCGCCAAGAACTCTTTTGTGAAGTCCGCGAACTTCGCGATGGGGTTGACTTTCTGTCTTTCGGCCCACCATTTCGCTGCCGGCGTGCGTGTGGGAAAGTGATCTCCTACCGCGTCTAGTCGGTCGCTGTCTGAGTCTCTTTTGAGGTCTCGGCTTCGAATTCGGAACTTTTGTATGAACTCCTCGGAATTGACGTTGTTTCTTTCGTCTCTTTCGTTCCCGTAGAACGCAGGCACTGTGTTCGCTTTCCGACATCGTGGCTGCACTGATGGTATTTTGTTGCGTTGTTTGGCTATTGGCGGTTGTGTTTTGTGGTACTGGTGCCGGTGATGTGGGTGGCGTGATCGTAGTCTGTCTAGACTGCTGGGATGCTGAAGAGGTTGGTGCTGTTGTTATGGACTCAGAGTCTTCGTCCGGAGTGTCTTCTCGGTAGATTCTAATTCCCCTTGCTTGCGCTGCCCAGTCTAGGCTTGGCGTCGGTGATGTCTTCGTGAACCTTCCTTTCTCGTCTCGTTCTCTCTTGTTTGCCAGCTTTCTTCTCTCTGCTCTGCTCTGCTGTGACTGCTTTGACTTCGAATGCCGCTCTTCGTCACCACAATATGGTAGCTCGCCTGGGCCGCGTGTGGTAGCTGCTCTGATCTAATGGTTCGTGACTACTGTGACATGATCCGACTACGGCCCCGGCGCCGGCCTCCCATCACACCAATGAGAGCAGTTGTCTCATTGACCAGCTTTTCCGCTCTTTGTTTGTATTGCCTTGCGTCGTTCCCACATAGCGCGAATAAGCCTCCTCCGATGCTCGTGTTTTGCGATCTGACTGGTATGGTTACGTTTGTTGGTTCTTCGGTAGAGGTGCTTCACAAGTCGATGTGCGAGCTCCCCCTGCAAAAACTTGTTAGCAAATCTAAGATCAAAGGAATTAAACCACATTTTGCGTAGAAGTTGAATCGGTTGTCCCAAATCATAAAATAGAGCCGGGGTAGTCCGGCAATGAATGCAGCTTGTATGTGGTAAGATTGAATGGTTTCTCCGCAGCTTCCTTCGCCTTTTTCAAGTTTGAGTTGGTGGTTTCTATTGGTGGGTCGCCATTCAAAGCGGGAGATTGCCCATCTATTGCCAGGACAGAGTTAACTGGAACGGAATGTGTTGATACAGGATTTTCTGGGATGGAATTTGCGGAGATGGAGTTTGCTGGCATGGTTTGGTCGGTGTTTGAGCCTGAAGACGGCCCAAGCCCATTCGTTGGGACCTTGGAATTAGTAGACGTAGGTTCTCCTGTTGGTGGCGGCGGCAGGGCGGAGGGTCCAGCTATCGCTTCTTGTGTGGTGGATTTCCTCTTCCCCAATGTTTTGGTGGCCTTTTTGGTTGCGGAAGGCAGTAGTGGGGTAGAGGAGCTAACCTTGGAATTTCTCCCTGCTGACCCCCCCCCTTGGTGGTTGGCTTTTTCTTGGCCTTTCTTTTGGTGGGTTGATGAGGGACTGCAGCAGATGCAGACGGCTGTTCCGCTGCTGCCGCTGCTGCCTTTTGGGCCCTCTTGGTCCTCTGACGTTGTTCGGCGGGGCAGCTCGTAGGTTTTGATGTTTACCGTCTCCCTTGCGAAACGCCGAATGGTCGTAAGAAGGTCAGTGGTTGCTGTTTGGAACAGGCCTATGGTGGTGGTGGTGTGCATACGAAGCTTAGCATACCCATGCCAAAGCGCCAGCTCAAAGCAGAGCTGATTTACGAGTTTTTGGTGGAGAGGGAAAAGCCCATCGATGACGGGAAGGATGCACTGCACCAAGTTTCAGCTACTTATGTGAAAGAAAGGAACTTCTTTTACTGGCCTGCAACACATCTTCAAAGTTTCGGGCCGCAGCATATTTCATGCCTGAAACGTTGTGACCAAACAACCTGATAACAGATCGGCCAAAGGTCTCGATCTGACGAAATCTTGAAGTAGTGTCAGCCAACGATGATCTCCTGTTAGTATTACTCTTGCCTTGCGTCAAATTCACCGATGTTCTCAAAGGTTTGGAGCATTCGAATCAGATGAGTTATTATTGCTTTTGCGACTCCAAGTTCCACTTCGTGTAGTAGGTCCGGCACCAACATGTCATAGAAATTGAAGGGTGTTTTGTCAGTGTTGAGTTTGGAGAAGGCGTTCTATCAAAACATTTAGAAACATCGCATGCTGAGGTAAAAGACAGACCCGGACTGGGACCCAAGAATTTTGTCTAAGCATTTTGTCGATAGAAGAGCCCGCAACAGCGAAGCCGTTCTCAAAGATGGCCCTCCTGGCATCTTCGATGGTTTGGCGTCGGGGATGGTCATCAACTCTAAGAACTTGGCGCCTTTTCATGTCATTGACAGTCCCCGTTTCTGCAATCTGTTTTTTTACGATGAAACAGCGGGGGCAAGGCCGGCCACCCATGCTCCTGATCGTGGCCAGCAGGACCCTGGGCAGATATTAGAGGATTGCCGATGGATTGGCGCTGCTCACTTTTCCGGATAATCAGCACCGTATATAAAAAAACGCGGGAAAACAAGTCGAACGATGCCATCCAAGCACGTTATCTTGATGCCATTTTCATAAGCGTCCAAGAAATCCTCTGAGAGTAAAAGGTCCCAGATTCGATGGAACAATTCTCGTTTTAGGTGGGTGTAGACCTTGTCTGACATATCGCATCCGTAGTGTTGACGGTATTCATCATGAATTGAGTCAGGGAGCTGAAGGGCATAAGCGTTGAATCAATAACAAACTTTGGATAGACGTACACTTGCAAAGTAAGCTTGATGAAAGCCAGCGTTTGAAGATGGCTTTGCTCGAAATTCCTTGGGGTGATTTCCAAAGAAGGTGTAGCCCGGCCAGAGCGAAGCCGTTCCAAATTGGGCCAGATGTGTGGCGTCGGACCATATCATCAGCGCCATGATGATGCTTTCCACAGGATCGTCTGGTGATTGCGGAGGGGGAGGTTGAGGAATTGCTTGAAACGCCTCAAGCATTGCTGCAGAGGTATAAATCTCCCCAAATACTTCCTCATGATGCGAGGGAAGGGTGGGCAGGCCATCTGAATTTAGCGGGGTTGCGGGGTCGTCGAGTACAATGTCTGGTGATTCTGTTTCAAAGGTCGGGTCATATCGTAGAGAGAACGGAGTGGTGTGTAGTAGCTTGAAAAGTGGACCCTGTAAAACTTCTCGGATTGAGTCGAGGAGAGGACGATAGTGAATGTCCGTGACAGTGAATACTGGGGCGTCGTCTTCTTTCTGAGGGTGTCCGACGCAGGGCAGCTTGAGCTGGACACTGGAGTTAATCCACTCCTCAGTAACTCCGAGGGGCTCAATCCCTTTCTTGTCCAGGTCGTCAAGAAATTTTTTGGTTGAGAATGGGCGCGGAAGGTCGTGCAAGTTGACTCCGTCGGACTCTGCTTCCGCATTGGGTTGAAGAATGTTTTAGATTCACCAATAGACCCCGCATTTTCTTCTTCCACGTGGTACTTGATTATGTGGGCGACGGAGGCGTTTGGAAATGAATAATACCACGGTTCTTTGGGAAGGGGCAAATTGTTCCAGTCAATGTGGCTGGCAGTTGGCTTTGCAGCATGGTAGAGATCGTCAAGAGTAATCGTCTCGTCGGGATCGTGGGTAGGACGGCGTGGATAAACCTTGTAAAGGCCGAACTTGTTGGGCTCAGTTCGGACCCAACATTGCGGCGCTGGTGGTACAATTTCGGAAGGTTAGAGTTCAGGTTCTGAAGCAGGACCAGGTGGCTCAACTGGTGCGTGTTGGCGAATACGAGGTGGGCGGGGAGGGGCGGCGTCGTTAAGCTTGGCAGGTGGATGTCTCCGGCGGTCAGGTAGGCCACTTTTGCGATATCGTTGGGGCTCGGGGTTGTCGACTTGTATCTAGGAGATATGAGAGATGATGGTGCAATTAACACCAGTCGTACCGGAGTAGCCTCAGGTGCCGGCTCTGGTATGGTAGAAGATGGATCACTTCGTCCTGAGAAACATCGAGTGAGTCCATCGACACATCAACAGCGTCTGAATGCGGATCCAGCATCTCCAACGCATCCTCCAGGGCACGGTTGAGCCCTGTCAGAGCGGAAATATTGGTGTTCGACTGCTCATGAGCCTCCGTGAGCGCGACCTGGGCGTTGTGCAACACCAGCTTTATACCAGCCATATCTTGAAGTAGCAACTGATTGTCGACCTCCAGCCGTTTGACTTCACTTTGGGAGGCCTTGCTGTTTTTGTAGAGAGCATGGCATGATTTTCGTAGCGACTAAGAGTAATTCCGTCAACCTAACCTAGTCAAAAAAGAAGAGCAAACACACCTTAATTTGACCAGTCGCTTTGTCGAGCTGCGCACTCTTCTTCAGATAACTCTCGTGCGCCGTAACCAGTTCGGTCTCCAGCTCCACTTGCCTGGCTTGATTCACCTCTGAATTGCGCTCCAGCGTAGCAACCTCCTCACGCAGACGGTTTGTTTCGTTCGTCGTGAATTCGAGTTCGTCCTCCATTTGTTCGTAATTCGCAACAAGTGCCTTCTGTGCAGTCTCGAGCTCGTTGTAGTCGGCGGTCAGCAATCTGAGCTTAGCTCGGACAGAGACTGGCATAAATCGTTAGCCATAGTAACAAAGAACAATGGCCACAAACTTTCTGAGTCAGACATGTCCTTCTCAGCAATACTGAGGATGAAGTCAGAGGAAGAACAAGGAAAAAACTCGAAGCACGCACAGCCGGGGAAGAAGAGGAGGTAAGGGAGAGCCAGCGACCGCAAGATTGTCCGATCCAGGGGGGGTAAAAAGGCTGTCCGAGGCAGGCAACGACATTCTGGCGCCGGTCCGATTTGCTGGGGCAGAGGCCGATCCCGCAGGCACAGGATATGTGGTGTTGCTTAACACTGGCAGAGTTATGCCACGCGTTTTCAGGAAGGTCTGGAAAGTGGCAGGGTCGTCCGAGCTAGTCAGCATGATGTTGCGGCGAGGTGCGGTGAGGCGGGGGATGGCAACTTGAATCACAGGCATATCAGCGGCTTTGCCTTATAAGTGTTCGCTGCTGGCCGTGGCAGGGTCGTTGTAAGGTAGAAGCCCATAAGCAGTCTTTCGGAGTTGTGGAACAACGGCCTGAACAACTCTACTGCCGCCTAGAGCCTGAGCGTCGTCGATGATGCCTGGAGACCAGACAACCGCATTTGGTGAAATGAGTGTGTCACGTTTGACTTGAATTGATTTCAAGTTCCTGTTGCTGTTTCGAGTCTTCGAGGCCAACGTCGGGCTCTATTCTAAATTCTCCGGCGAATTGTTGAACTCCGCGTTACAGCTTGAAGCCACGTCTAGTGCAGCTGGTGCCCCTCTTACAATGCACAAGATATGGGTTATAACCCAAAGGTCCAATGCACAAGACATGGGTTATAGCCCAGGGGAATTTGGAGAAATGATTCCTTAGTTTCATTTTATTCTTTTTTGAGCTGTTTGGTATGATATTAGTGATGGGACTGATGGTCCAAACTAAATCTAACCTTTGTTGAACCAGTTTTGCAAGAGATCAATTGTTTTGATGATCACATGATACTGCATCACTCCTTCTCTAGTTATTATTGATCTCTATTCCCTCCTCTCCTAGGAGCCCAATATTACATCACGAGTCATCGGCCTGAAGAAAAGGTGATTTACAATAACATATACAATGTCGCATTAGTCACATTATGCTTTTATAGTATATTTTGGTATATAACCCATGTCTTGCGCATTGGACTGTTGGGTTATAACCCACAACTTGTGCATTGGACCAGCTGCAACAGGTGTCTAGTGGCTCGCAGCGTTGACTCCGAGTCGGACTCAGATGCATTCGGCGGCAAGCGCCGAGCCCTACGAGGGTTTGTTCAAGTTTGGTTGGCCCGGGAGAGGCTTGCTTTAATAGAAGAATTAGAGCCTCTTGAGCACCGTTGTTGCAAAGACGCAGAGAGAATCTTTCTTGAAGAGGAGGGAAGGTGCCTTTGAAGACTTATGTGCTATTTCCAAGCAGCCAACGACTATCTTTGGCAAGACAAAGATCAACTTATCGCTAGCCTACACCGAACTCTGCAGTCGCAAAGCGCCCTCCGTGTGGAGTTGTCCCGTGCTCATCGCAACCTGCGTCGCGCTTTTCAACAAAAGCTCGTAGGTGTGCTCGCTCTTCGAAGGCTTAGTTTCACGTTTTCCAGGAGGTTAAGGGTCAGTTGTCTTGCTTCATGATGGAAGCTAGGGAGCAAGTAGTTCGGTCAAAGGCTCACACAACGAAGCTCGAGGCGCAGAACACCAAACTTCTGTTATTGTTTGAAAGCATTCGGCCTCTTTTGGGCTCAGAACAGACGGGCTTGCTGCAAGAACTGCTGGAGATGGCGTAGTAAACGTAGATGCCGTTGTCTTTGTCAATGAAGCGTATGATGACTTGTTACTCGCAAACTCCTGATTTCAACGCATACATGAGGGATGGGCGCATCATTTGCTCACACAATGGTGGTGGTCAAGAAGCCTTTCTTAAGCAATGTAAATGAGTATTACAGTCTGGTACACGATGTGAAGCAAAAAGAATTGGAGAGAATTAAGCGTGAGGCTGACTATCGGAACAGTGGTCACAGTGGTGGGTTGGGCGAGACGCTGTGCCTTCGCGCAAAGCGAGTTTCGTGAGGCCTATGTCGTCCTTCGTATGGTGAATCTCGGACACGACTTGGTTCAGTTGGTGCTCCAGATATTAATAATCAAGATACTGCAGTTGTTCCTGAATGCAGCGCAGAGTGAACTGCTCCTGGGAAAGAGAGCGTTGGAGGTGAACACGGAGGAGACTTAGTATTTGTTCTCCCTCAGCGGGATTGCGAGGCGCCTTGATTGGTCGTCTGTGGGTCATGCCCCAGTGCTACGTTGTCGGCGTCAGCCATCATCCGCCAAGGACGAAAAGAAAAAAATGACACCATGCGTGCACCGTAGTTAGAGGTATGAGCTTCAACCGCTGTGTGCAAGTGGGGACGTTACGGTGGAGCCCTAGTAGTAATATAAAGGCAAAAGAAGACTGGCTGAGCCAGAGGCAATGGAAGCCTTTACCTCTGGCTAACCCATAGCCTCTGGCAGAGCCAGGGAATTAGCTATCTGCTTCCCCAACAATCCGGCAGGCTACTGGCTATCAATCCTTGATTGATTTCACTGCCGACCTGCTGGTCAATGCTTACGCGGCTGTTTATCCATTATCAGCGGGGGGGTCCGCGGGTATTTGTTTACATTTATTTGTTCTTCCTTGACTGCCCACCCGCTGCCCGGCCACTGCCCGGCTACCCGCTGCCCGCTGTGATGGGAGGCCGACGCCGGATCAGTAGACGGATCATGTCACGTAGTCACATCTATCGATAGTATCAGCGAGCGACCACACGCGGTCGAGACCAGCTACCACATTGTGGTGACGAGAGCGGAATACGAAGCCAGAAAGCAGTAGCAGCAAGCAGTACAGTGCAGAGAAGCTGGCAACGAGCAGATTTCGAGACGAAAAAGGGCGTTACACAAAATCGGAGACTTCACCGATACTCGCAAGACTAGCGGAGTTAAGAGGACTGAAAGTCTACAAACCCGAGGACTCAGACGAAGAGGCAGAAGACGCGGTGACCCTGCCGAACTCATCGGCATCATCGCAAACCAACCAGCTGACAACCACGTCACCTGCCCCAACAACCAGCCAAGTCACCAACGCAACTACTACTACCGCGCAGCCAAACATAGCAGCAATGAACGAATCAAATGCGGTCCCTACATTCTATGGGGATGAACGAGATGAGAAAAACAAAGTGAACTCGGAGGAATTCGTGCGGAAGTTCAGAATCCGCATGAGAGACCTGAACCGAGACAGCGATGCGCAGAGAATAGACGCGGTCGGAGACTACTTCCCCGGGAAATCACCGGCAGCCAAGTGGTGGAGCAAGCGCCAGAAACAAAACACCATCACCAAGTTTGCGGACTTCGTAAAGGAATTCGGAACCGAGTTCCCGACCTTCGATGATGAGGCGGAGCCAACGAAGCAAGAACACCAAGAGAAGCTGGTGAATACTAAAATCACGCTGCAGCAGCTGGGAAGCACAGTGGAGGTAGCGGGTCAAGAGGTAGAAACCCACGTCCGATTCGCGCAGAAACTACAAGAAGCGGCAAAGAAAGCAGGCGTCGAAGCCACGTCCAGTTACATCTATCAAGTGCGGGATGCCATCCCAGAACCCCTCCGCAAACACCTCCCAAGGGAACCGGCAAACTGGAAAGAATTTACCGATGCAATCAAAAAGGTCGACAGGGCCAAGTTGCGGGAAGACGTGAAAGAAGCCAAGGAGAAAGCGGAGAAGGATGCCGAGAGAGACAAGAAAATCGCAGAGCTTCAACGCAAAGCCGTGCCAACCACACCAGTCTCCAAGATGGCAGCGAAGCTGGTCGCAACGAATCTAAACACGCCGCGGAGCTCAGGAGGCCAAGCAGGAGTCGCACAAGACGTCTTCGGGGCAGAAGGGGGAAGAGGCAACCTGTTCCAACCGCTCACGGCGGAAGGAAAACAGCGACTCCGGCAGCTAGCAGCCCATATGAAACCCCCACCAGACAACGAAGATGGAAGGAGGTTCTACGAAGCGCAAATCGACAAGTGGAACCAGCAATTTGGCGGGGACAAGAAGCGACCACCTCTCGAGCAAATCGGGTACCCGTTATCCCCAGGGTCGGCACCAGTCTGCTCGGGAGAATGCTTTCAGTGCGGACAACTGTCGGTACCGCCACACCGGTCTAGCACTTGTGATGCGGAAAAAGTGCCGAAAGAAGAACGACACTTCAGGGCGATCTGTAGCCGGGAACTGGGAATCGCAAGAAACCGCGAAGCTACACAAACTGCGGATGTCAACTACTTAGCGCTACGATTTGAGGACTACAAAAGGAACAATGCGAGGGAGGAGGATTTTGGGGAGGGATCGTCCGAGTAAGTGGCCAACGGACGGTCCGGGAAACGCGGCCAAAGAAATGCCTCGGTCCCAGCAACGTACGAACGACGTGTATGACTTCGAATCAGCGAATCAACATTATTGACATGTACGGAGCAGCGATGGAAGGAAGCGAGGGGTGCAGCCCATTTGAGCACTCAGCAAAACTCAGGGGAGTAAATGGCGAAGTTGCCGTTAGAATGCTATTCGATGGAGGCGCCCTAGTAGGAGCGTTGGACAAGAACTTATGGGAGCGAAACTTAAAGCAGCTTGGAGCAGGAAGACCGTCGACAACAATTCTAAGAATGGCGAGCGGTCAACTCATACCCTCAGTGTGCAAATGGACCGGAATAGCGAACATCGAAGGAGTGCGAGAGCGAATCACATTGGAAGTGTTCGACAGCGGAGGGGGATGGGAAGTCTTATTCGGAAAGCCACTACAAGCACTGTTCGGCGCCATACACGACTACAAGAACGACAAGGTCAGCATACAGGTGGAGAACGCGAAGGCAATGCTGGAGAATCAAACACAACGGAACAGGGTCAAGAAAACAGGGATGGAGAGAAAACAGGCAGCCAAAGACGACACACAAAGGAAAGTGCAAGACAATGTATTCCAAATAGATGATACAGCACAGGTACAGAAGGCGGAAGCGGAGAGAAGCATGGATGAGGAGGAGGAAGGAACATGGAATGAGCGGGAAGAAGATGATGAAGAGGAAACAGCAGAGATCGAAGAGGAAGGAAGAGAGGTGGAGACGGCAAGGACCATCGCTAGAGAGGCAATGGAGGCGTTGGGAATGAACAAGGGCGAAGAGGAACTTGAAGAAGGACCAGTGCGGGAGATACAAACCGTGGACACAGAAAACGAGAAGACGCACCAAAAACCCAACGCAACCAACATCTTCACTCGCAAAACAGACTCCTTTAACCCAGCCAGAGTGGAACGAATCCTGAAAGCGGTGGAAATAGGACCAGACGTGACCGCGAAGGAGAGGG